GCCACATTTGCAAATGCGATTTGTAACTTTGATCCTTACCCATGTATCGATATTTAAATTTAAATGTGCAATTGTATGGAGGGAGTGTGTTGTCTAGGAATGGTCTGGGACAGTTGTTGTTTTGGTGCTTTACCCTAGCTTGCATTTGGTGTTGAAAAAACGGCAGGAATGTATGCTCTTATTCATGTGTAGTGACTTGAATGGAGTCACTATGGTGTTAGCACCAGCTACTGTCACAAGAGTGGAACTGTACGTCTTGAGTCTCTCTGGCACCAGAGTGGATATGGCATGGAAGCGGGCCCTAGGGGGCATAGTTCTGGTGAGGGTCGGAGAGAGAGCAAGTGAGGACGTGCTCTGTGTGAACCCGAGAGGGCATGTGACCGGGGCATGGTAGCAAGGGGGCCCGAAAGGGGGGGGCTCGAGGGACACGTGATATGGGCCAGAGCCTTCTAGTAGGATCTAGAAGGGGGCGTGGCCAAGGGCGGAGCCAGGCCACGCTCAGGAGCATAAAGGGGCAGCCCGAGAGGATTCTTGGCTCTCTGTTGGAATGGAACCCGTCCGTGCTACGTCTCTTTGATACTCGGTCTTCGATGTCACGCTCGGCATTGTGGGTCAGGCAATGTGTTACTGACTGACCCGGTTATGTAGTTACTCCGTTGTGGTCTAGTTAACCGTGTAGTTATCACCTAGATGTAGAACCAGTGTACGTTTATGTAGTTCGTCCTGTTGGGTCGTTAAATAAACGTGTTGCCTCCAACTCCAGTGTGTGCCTCCGTATAACACACGACACATGTACTTGTATATTAATTATTTTTAGTGACTTGCACTCATCGGTTTTTGTATTGTTTCCTGTTGTAACTATCTGACCCTCCATATCTAACTTTGACTTCACTGGGTTGTGCACAATTGTGTATCAGCATATTAATGTAACGTGATGTTATGCGATGAGATGACATCGGCAATCGGAGACGTATGATGAAAATAGGAAGGTCTCGAGGGTGGGCCCCAGTGATACGCCAACTACACACGGCATAGGCAATGACTGTTCGTCACCCAACTTGACGAAATGTGATCGACCATGCAGGTATGACTCAATCCACAGTGCCATACCCGATACACCAAACCATGACTCATTGAATGTAGAGTTGTCCTAGGAGAAACCTAATATACGAGTCATATATGCTACTCATGTCTATGGCCAGGAATACTCTTGGCGAAAATGTCTTTACATGTGAAAAATTTACCCGACCTCCATAGACATAAACAAAAGTTAGTGAAATCCAAGAGCACACACCCGCTGCAGACGAGACATTTGTCTGCACATACAGCCAACACAACCAGAATACAGGCTGTAAACACAGCTGACCAGACTACAAGCTATAAGCAGAACAAGCAACAGAAGAATAGATATCGAACAATACATTTAGCATACTTGTGTTAAATGTATTGTGCTATAGTGGTGAACTTTGGGTAATAAGACAAAATACATTTTGCTTTGGAACAAAGTTTGCAGCAGCAATTAAGCAGGCCAACGCCCGATCTACTTAAAACAAATGTTATTGGACATTATACTACAGCAGTGACGTCCGTACAGCGGCCACGAGTCAATCGTAAGTGTGTTAATAAATTCGGAAGCGCTTAAGCGACGTACGTTCAAAACATGGCACTTTTACGCGCATGCGAATGTAAAAAGGGATGCCTGAACTTCACGCTGGAACGGACATCCTAGGACTCGCATTCAATGCGTGTGTATCCACTGATCAAGAGCTGCGTGTATTTGAGTTGCGATTTTTAAACTTCAAAGAAATGTTTTTAATCAAAATCCGGCCTCTTCCAAGGGCCTCTCACTGCTGACAATACTGATGTGGCGATGAACCAAAAAAACACGCACTACGCCACTCGGACGGACCTTGAACGAACACTGAAAGATCGTGCAGCTCTACGACGCGTTACAGTCGCCGGTATATGCGTCAACGTGCGTACACCGTTGCAGTTTTAGTTTAAAGTAAAAATCTCGACTTACGCTTTCCTGCGAGCAAGGAGTCTGTGCATAGGGGTCGCCATCTTGTTGTAGTGCGCGCCCCCGGAAGCGGTCCTGCCAAACTCTTTTGTTATTCCGGGTGCTCACGTTTGCGTCAATCCCATTTAGAAATGAACGTGGTAATTTCGAAATTAATTGCCAATAAATATTCACAATCGAATGTTTAGATGCCGTAGTGTGGAGGATAATTGTATTCACTGTTTTTCTTTTTCTCCCCTTCACGATGTCCGGAACATATTTTTCACATGGGTGAAGTGAAAATATGTTCCGGACCTCCGGGGGGGCGGAGGTCGTAGTCACGATCACGTGACGCGCAGCTGCCACCACGTGGCTGCAACTTGAAGCCACTGGGCGCCGCCATGTGCAGTGAGGGGGCAATTCTGCTTTCTGGTTTTGTGAATAGCAGCAATGTTCAGGAGCGTTGGATGCTTCGTGTGGTTGTTATACTCTGCTGAAGGAACATAGCCTTGCAGTGCCCATTGACTTAACAATGTCCACAAACTTAACATTTTCCAAACACTTTTTCATAGCTGTCAACCCCTTATCAGCGCCTATCTTATTACAGACCAATTAAGACATTATTGGTCACCCTTATAAATCTCAACGTTCATCCTACAAAGTCCCATCACAAGGAGAGAAACACAAACATATACAAATTATTGCCCTATTGAAACGGCTGTACACCATATGGACCTGACAATCTATTTCCTTGTACAAGAATACAGGTAAACAGTATGGGATTTACATGTATGTAAGTAGTGCTACTCCGCTGAAGGAACGTAGACTTAAATTGCCCATTGACTTAACATTTCCCAAACACTTGTTTTGCGTATGGCAATGTGTTGCTATTCCTCGGTCGTTGAAGCATTGCAGACTCCAGTGGTTTACTATCCATGCCAATTTTCGATATATGAAGTTTCAGTACTGTATAATGAGCTTTGAATGTAATACAATTATATAAATGGAAGAAATGTTAAATAGTAAATGCATGCACTGAAATTAATACCTTGTTTTAAACATCTATTTACGGTACTACAATATACTATATAAATAAGAATAAAAGTTATAACACGGATTCTTTCACTTTGCGCATCGCGAGGATTGCTAACATTTGTCTCGGCCAATCGCTATGTTACTGAGCTTTTGGCGTTTGGTGGCCAATGGAACTTTATTATTGCACCGAAGACTTAACACTCGGTGAGCGTTAATACATTTCACAGTACACCGTTTCTTGTATTCATGTCAGTTTTTGTTACGTTACTTGCTCCCCTGGTATGCAGGAGGAGTAATCGTGGGTTCGATCCCGACCCTTTGACGCCTGCTGAATATTTGTAGTCTGCGGTGTCTCCCTCCTCGTGGTCGCGTGGATTTTTATTCGAGGCCCTCCGGATTTTTCGCCTCTACATTTACAAAACATGCGTTTGGAGTTATTCGCCTGTTATAATTTACCACGAGATAAGTCACTTCGTTGGGCTTTCATTTGTGGCCAGGTCGCTTCTGAAAAAGAATAACATAGCTCATTGGGCCCTTACCTGGTGAAATATAACAAAAAAAAATTGTTGAATATGAATGGTGTTTATAGTTTGAAATGGTGAGTTACGAAGGCTTGGAACGCATTCTCATAGTACTGTCATACGTTATGCAATATACAATGTTTTAATATTCGAAGGAAGCTCTAGGAACGCAACTACTTCGTATATCGAGGTACCCTGTGACTTTATTTGTGTGGGAGACGGGAGTCCGCCCCGCACCTCGCGGGGACTCCACCGTGTTAAGCACCGCCGTCATCTGGACGGAATGGACGTCGTTCATTCTCAACAAGATATGATGAGTATGGGGAGAATTTGACACTTAAATCCGCATATAACTCAAGAAACAAACCTCACAAAAGTAAACGTGCGATGTTGGGCCAGGACATGACAGATGATGATTCAAAAAAATCTGCAGACTAGCTGCTGGATCTCCTGTCTGTTTCAAGGAACAAATTTGACCTCAGGTCTTCGCTCATTTAGCAGCTTCACATTCCCTATTGCCGTACAAAAACTGAAGGAAGGGCCTTTGCTATTGATGCCCCCAGGGTCTAGAATGCTATTGCCAATAAACTGCAACTTGAATCGCTACCAATGAGATCTTCTCTCAAAACTGCTCTAGAAGAGTTGTACACCCCTAGCTGCCACTGCTATTCATTGGCGTAAAATAAAATGTTGCGCTCCGGATTACGCTGCAAAGTATTATCTGTATTTTGATTTAGCGTGCTGATCTTAAAGGTGCATTGAAAATTTTGATACTCCGACTGATGCTTCTGTTGTTGTGGAGTAACTCATGCAGCCAGCTATGGCTCTAGGATTTGGTGTTACATGTTATTTATGTAGTTTATTGTAAAAATTCGGTCACAGTCCCAATGATCACTGTTACGTTGCAATTATGGCTTTATTTTTTGGTGATTTCGAAAAGTTTTTTGGTTTGGACATGTTTGTTTTGTTGTAGTACGGAGTTAGACTGATGGCCTTAATCTAAGTTTTCTTGTGGTTGTTGTTGTTTGACTTGCATCCCACTGGGATTTTTTGCACAAAGCGTTGGTGTACGGTGCTTTTTTCAGGAATATTTTGCTGTTTTTTCAGGAATATTTTGCTGTTTTTTCATGGATTTTCTGTTTGCACAGTCACATAGTCACTTTAAGATGTTTTTCTTGTTCGTGTTTTTGTTTTTTTGTTTGTTGTGGTTGCACCCCATTCAAGAGCCGAATGGCTCACAGGGCTATACCAAAATAAATAAACTGAAACTGAAAAAAAACAGACTCTGGCTCCAGCTCCTCTTGGAAGGAGTGGGGGGGGGGGACCAGTAGAGTTGTGGTGGGTGTCACCATACGAGTGATTGATTCACTGCTTAGCACAGTGAAAGGTTGTGCAGGGGTGAACATTGTAACGTACACAGAAAAGCATTACGACCGAGCCTACATTCACCCTCCCATCGTAAATCCCACAAATCTGAACCTAATCCGAGTGACAGTGGTCACTTCAATACTTTCATATCTCACGAGGTTATTGCCAACTGAGATTTCAATCTTAAGCAATGATATGTAAAATAAATGTACAATATAACTACAAGCGTTGGATGCAGTCACAATAAATGTGAGATATATGACAGTCGTATAGAACATATAATATATAAGCGCAGATATAACGCAGAGCAGACATGCATTCTGAAAATAATAGATGGGTGACAGCAGAGACAGAAAATAAAGATAAATATTATATTTATACAAAACAGTTAATATGCCAGAGATAGTAGACATAACATCGAAGAAATGTACAGTATTTAGAAAGAAGAGATGGGATAAAAGTGCATTCGGAGCTGAAATTTAAAAAAAAAATCGCACGTGGGTGCAGCATTCACACGGCGTGCACCGCACGGTCGATTTGGCTGTAACAAGGCAGGCAACTTAATTCTTTGACGCACATCACTGCACTGAGTCAACGCACGCAGAGATACAAAATCACTGCGTTTGCTCAGTGACATATAGGTGCGCGCGCGTGTGTGTGTCCGGCGCTTTGAGCCTTTTTTACGCAGTTTTTAGAATGAGCGTGAAGAGCTTGTTGCGATTATTCGGGACTCGTCGATCCCCGCCCATCATGGACGGCCCCTTGCTGTTTCAGAGGGCCTCGTGGAGGAGGGGTGGGGGTACCGTGGGGCCAGAGGTCACTCGGGTAGCGATGTCTGGTGGTGGTGGTGGTGGCGACGAGAGTCCGCTCCTCGGAGCCTCTGACAACTGGTGAGTGCTGGGTCTCTCCGAGAGAGAGGCACACGTGTCTGTGTGCCAGAGATGGAGAGGGAGAAAAACACCACCTGTATTATGGATGATATTGGTCGCGAAAGCCTACGCGTTAAACAGAGAGGTAGCGGCTGTGTGTACGTGCTGCCGTGAGAGGGTAGCGTCGTCAGTGCATGCGTGGAGAGAGGCAGAGCCAAAGGTCCGTGCGTGAGGTGCACCTAGCCTGGCACCCTTCATTCACTGAGTGGCGAATGGCCGGTTATTGTTCGTGAGAGAGGTTAGAAGTGTTCGGTAAGGCACAGCCAGCGGTTGTAAGTTTGTGTGAGTGGTTGTTGATTAGCCATAGACATTAGGAACAGGGGGAGTTGAGAGCACAGATTACAGAGGATTAAGCGAGTTCCAGACGAAGGGGGACAGGCACGGGAGAATTATAGACCTGTTACGGTTCCGTACATTGCAGCGTTTCGTAATATTCTCTCTTGGTGTCGTCCATAAAGTGGTCGGTACATAGAGAGCCGAGTGCGGAGCGGCTATGGGACAGCGCTTCACGCACTGAGCAATGTACATCGATATTCTTCCGCACCGTACGTAGCCCACCGTTGCTATGAATTAAAGTGAATTCATTTTTGATTCCCGAACCATGGACAGTATCAGTGGCAGGTGGTGTCCAAACGTATCCGAGGCCTCCCTGAAGTTAAACTTGTTTTTCTTTATTTTGGTGATTTTGAAAACGTTTTGGTTTAGCCATGTTTGTTTGTTGTAGTACAGAGTTCGCCTGATAACTTTATAATCTAAATTGGCTTATGGTTGTTATTGTTTGACTTGCATCCCACTGGGATTTTTGCACACAGCGTTGATACGCGGTGCTTTTTATGGAAGACTTTGCTGCTTTTTTCCTGGAGTTTTCTGTTGCGCGTAGTCACTTTAAGATGTGTTCTTGTTCATGTTTTTGTTTGTTGCGGTTGCACCCGATTCAAGAGCCACATGGCTCACAGGGTTATACCTAATACATTAAACTGAAAACTCAACCTTAAATGAGCAACCTGGTCTGTGTGAGCTGTGAAAAACAGGCATTGGGGAGAAATGGGTTGTTGGATATGGTGGAGGCCACATGGCCTCCTCGTGTGCCATAATGCTTGCTTACAGCACTTTCCCCTATATCTTTTAGGCGAATTGAGAGATATCTGCCTTTACCTGCGTGAATGCGTGCGTTACCAGCGACGTCACCAGCGACGTCAATGATGTCCAGGCCTTGTTGGAGGAGACGGAGAGGAGGCGATGGCGCTCAATCCGGGTCATGTATCTCACCATGTTCCTGAGCAGTGTGGGTGAGACTCGATTGCACAGTAATGTCAAAGTGTTTCCATGCACACATGTTTGGTGGTGCTTATCTCAATCGGTGGTTCCGAACACATGTGCAAAATCCACATTCATATGGCAGTTGAATGAATAACTGATTCAACCAGATCTCAAATTTTCAATTTTAAATGCCCCTTCCTAAATTACAGGTTAACACCTTCAGTTATTCTAAATTGATCTTACTGGGTTTCTAGTGTACACTGAACAGCCTAGAGCGTTTCTAGTTATGTTTTAACATATTAAGGCAACCACTGTTGACACATATAACAGGCACATACTGAGATATACATATGTAAAAATTATCTATTGCCACGTGTAAAAATCCACTGTATACATATACTTATGTAGGCACATAAAGAACAAAAATTAAAGGGACTGCATTGGCAGTGGCATACATCATAAGCTCAGGACCTCACCACATTTGTTACTAACGATGCCTTTTACCTAAATAATACCCAATGGCCCTTCAGAACAGAAACATGACAGACATTTATATTGTAGTTATAGGTGGAGTTAAAATATTACTCTGTGGTGTCCTTGACAATTTTAAGCTCACGAACAGTTGATATTGGAACAGTTATTTACATGCCTGTGGATAAATATGTAGCCATGGGAGTGGAATCCCAAATATGTTGGATCAGGATGCTCACTGCCATGGTCAATCTGAATTATGAAAGATTCTCTGTGAATATGCGTGTGTTTCAGGTTTTTCTATAGTCATGTCCTCAATCTGGCCATTCCTTCAGAAGGTGAGATGTGTGTTGTAGTTGTGTATGTAAGGTCTGCATTCATACATCTTTACAACTAGTTAAATTATTTGTATGGTTTACAGTGATATTTTCATATGAAACTGCCCATCCATAGTGACCCATATAATAAAGACATGTTCTATAATTTAATGTATGTAGAACTCCTCTGATATAGCACCCTTTTGCACTGGCTCCATGCTTTGACATTATAGATAGAGAAACCTTTCCTTGAGTCTTAATCCTGGGTTCCCAGAGGTACTGGCCCAGTGTGGTCACATGGCCAATATGAACTTTGATAGAAAAACAACCAGTCCCATGTCTTAAATCCAAGTAATGTGAAGAAACAATTCACAAATCTAACATTGTTAATATGAACCCTGTAAAAGATACCAAGCAGCAGGCTTCGTAATCTGACGTGACACTTCCGTATCTCTTGACAAAGACAGCCCCAACTGTTGAATGCACACCATGAAGGGTACCAATTCAGCACCTTGACATGACCACAATTAGTCTGCTGGGCGAGACCAGCCCCGGGTTCTTAACCAACGGCCTCACAGTTGCCAACTCACTTTACCAACATGCCAGGACTTCAAAGATGCCAGCTTGGTTCTCCAACATAGCATTGTGCCGCCTACAGGTGGACCCCTCCAGCAGCCCCACATTCCTGGGTTGGGTGCTGGCATCATACAGCCTTGCCCAGCTGTTTGCCTGCCCTGCCCTGGGGGCATGGGCCAACGCCAGGGGCAGCTCCATGCCCCTTCTCACCTCCATGCTGCTGGGCACTGCCGGTCATGTCATGTACATGTATGCCCACGCCGTGCACTCGAGGGGACGCTTCCTTGTGCTGGCAGCACGCATTTTCCTCGGTCTGGGAGCTGGTACGACACAAATACTCACAACGGGCATAGGACACAACGTGTACACTTTCTTTACAAGACACCACACGCACACCACACACTCAATCAGTATCCGGTGTTGTGTATATGCTGAAAAAAGCACTGTTCCATTTTTAATAGGTGCTCCCTTAAGAGCATTTGCCCAACCTTTGCGACTTCATGGGGATCTGTCTTTTTGCATGCATATATTTATGTGTTTGCATGTATACTTATGTGTGTGTATGTAGGTAATGTGGCTGTGGTGCGTGCATTTGCGTCGGCGGCCACCAATATGGATGAGCGCACGCCTGTTATGGCCAACCTTAGTGCCTGCCAGGCACTGGGGTTCATACTCGGCCCAGGTGAGTAAGTATGCAGATCATATAATGCATTGTAAGCAACTATTACACTGCATGCAATTCCATTGAATTACATTGCATTTTTTATTGTTACGGGATAAACTTTCCTCTACTAAATTCAGCTTACTTAAACTGCACTTGAATCTTTGGAATTAAATACAAATTCAGTTTTTTATTTAATCCATCGCTTGCTCTTTGCTGTGTTCTGCAAAAAACATTGCAACTATTCTCAGGATATTCTTGGTTCTTTCGGTAAAGTCACGTTGAAGGGAAACAATAAGAATATGAATCACTGCAGTCACGAAAGCTTTAAATAAAAAATAAAATTCTCAGGATGTTTGACAAATTTTCAAGATAATCACAAACTTGTATTTTGTAGTTATAAGCTAGTAGTTTATAATCTTCAAAACAAGGCAGGCAAGAATACCACGTGCCATACTCGTGTGTTACACGAGAGCTGCGAAGCTGTGACCCCTGCCTGCGTGCACCATGTGAGCACAGTGCTGCAGACGGTGCTGACGTGGGTGGGCGAGGAGGGGGTATCGTGGCCCCCACTTGCCCTGCAGCTCAACATGTATACGGCGCCTGCGCTGCTTGGAGCCGCCCTCACCCTCGCCAACGCCATCCTCGTCACCTGCGCTTTCTGGTTAGCGGGGTGGCGAGCCCGAGGAGAGGGGGAGGAAGTGGTAGGTGAGCAGAGAGAGAGAGAGAGGAGAGAGAAATGAGGGTAGAAGGTATTGGAAGGGAGACACAAGGAGAGTGAGAGAGGAAAGAGAGGGAGGGGAGGAAGAGTGAGAAGAGAGAGGGGAGATAATTGGAAAGAGAGGGAAGGTGAAATGAGAGGGAGCAACAGGAGATGGAGGAAAAGTGAGACAAAGGGGAAGCTCAGGGAAGGCATAGAGAAAGTAAGATAGAGAAGGGAAGAGAGGGAAGATAGAAATTGGAAGGGAGGTGAGAAGTTGAAGCACACCTTGTATGCTTTGCTGATTTAATACCGTAAAATATTTGGAAGCTGGAATCAGGGATAGGCTAGGAGGATATCTGTATTCAATAAATAACAAACCAAACAACCCTGACTAGAAAATTGTTCACACACGAACTACGCTGTGCATGACAGTGATGGTATGTGAATATGAGCTAGCAATTCTAAAGCTATGTGTGGTACACATGCACTTGTCTGTTGTATGCAATTCAATTATTTGTTCACTTGGGCGGCTTGTGTTCTGATGAATCTTCTTTGTTGTTTTTTAACATTTATATTATTTAACGTTATTTTACAAATAAATAATAAATTATTCCGGCCCTTCAGAAAATCTTCAGCCTTATGAATCTTCAACTTTACACTTCACACATTAGTCTTACACCTCTCAATCATGATGGGTGATGGTAAGCGATTAAGAATAAACAGTCATAACAGCAATCATTTTTTGTTGCATCATGAAATAAAAAAAATATTACGTGATACATATGTCGTTTATTATTATTCTTATGCTGTTATTTAAATGGTCGAAGTGTTACCTGTGTGTAAATATATAACATTTGTATTTATGTATTACAGCATTTGCTTATTTAAAGTATTCAGTACATGCACTGTAACCGGAGAGACTCTTTCTCAAATTCCTTTGGCTTTGAGAGGTTTTGCTGTGATGTGCTCGCTAGTTCAGTAGCCTGAAAGAATGATCTTGGATATTGATATGTGCACGTGTTTCTCTTCCCCAGGGAACAAAAATTGAAAACAGACAACAGCTCCGCTGATACGGGTGAGAGTCACAATTATTCATTGTAGAGATTGCTAGTTGATACATAGGGTTTAAAATTGACATGTAAAGATCACTGGCCCCATAACCACTGAGATCTTGGACTTGAATCTGGACTCAAACCTCAGATTAAACCGAGTTATTATGTTGAATGAGTGCACCTGTGATGTGATGTCACTTTGGTTTCTGTGGAGACCTCCACAAAGAGCTTTCATGTATCCGTGTGTGATTGTCTTTGTGTGTTGGTGTCATTGTGGGAATGTGTACGTATGTGAGGAAATGGTGGTGTAGTGGTTAGTTCACTGCACTATGAACCTGGCAACCAAGGTTCGATTCCTGGCAATGGCTCATTTTAGTGGTTGTGATATCTGAACTGGTCCTTGGCAGCCCCTGTGTAGCTCAGCGTTATATGAGCAAGCATCCAGTGCAGTCTATAAATATCAGAACTTCGGAGACAAAGGTGCCAAGCTGAGGTTTGGCCATACCACCCCCATGGTGCCCACTAAAAGGAACCCACTAACAGCATTTTTTCAATATAGGCTATACAGGGAATATTTGTACGTTGTATCTGTGTCCATCAGGCTAAAAATCGATCTTTAAGTCTGATGTTAGTATACATATCATCAGGCAGGGTTAATCCACTTTTGGATGAAGGCCTTCCCAATTGTGTCTCATTAAAATTATCAACTCGTGCCACAACAACGGGTGAATTACATGTTGAAAAAGAAAACTGAACGTATCCTTAGAAAAAATAGGTGATTCTTTATATTTGAAGTGAAGAGAGAGAGAGAGTGCTCATAAGAATAACGTATCGTCGGAGACCAGTAATGCACGCGAGAGACAGTGTATATATGTGAGGAGTAAATTTGCATGTACACATTGCGTATGCATATGAGATATCTGCATGTGTGTTTGTATTACAGATACGCGGATGAGCTTAAACCTGTTAGCCGTGATCACTTCCAACATTCTCTTTTTTGTCACTCTCTTCATTTTCACGGTATTTGAGACGTACGTATCCACACTCGCACACACTTGTGTGTTTCGTATGTGTCTTTGATATATTTGTGTGTTGCGTGTGTGAGTATGTTTTGTGTGCGAGTGTCTTTGATATGTGTATGTCTGTGTTGCATGTGTATTTGATGTGTGGGTGATGTGATGTGTGTTTTTGTGTGTGTATGCGCAGAATTGCTACACCCCTCAGCATGCACATGTTTGCATGGTCCCGTGCTCAGGCCGTGCTTTACGATGGTCTCCTCCTGGCTGGCCTGGGCCTGCAGGCCATCGGGGTCTTCATGGCTGCTAAGCCCCTCACCCCACGGTGAATGGCAATGATGGTGATGTGAGGCTGTTGGTTTGATGATCATGGTGGTTCAAAGATGTTGGTAATAGTCTGATGGTGATGATAAATATGGTGGTGTTAGTACAGTGACAATATTGGTCACAATAGTGATGTGGTGATAATGGTTTATTGGTTATGCGAAGGTAAAAGTTGTTATAAAATAAGAGTTCCATATCAAATATGACAATAGTATATTCTTGGTTTTTTCAGTAAAGTTTCCCTTCTACGTGACTTTACCGAAAGAACCAAGAATATGAATCCCTGCAGTCACGAAAGCTTTAAATCAAAATGACAATAGTAGTCTACGTTTCTGCTTAACATCGTGTCAGAAGGTGTTCTCGAGTGAAACGTTGTGTTATTGTTGCAGGCTGGGAAGATGGTTGTTAATGTTTTTGACTGGAATAGTGGTTGTTGCAGGCTGGGAGAGTGATTGCTGTTGTTGCAGGCTGGAATAGTTGTTGTTGCTGTTTTTGTTGCAGGCTAGGCGAGCGGTTGTTGTTGGTGGTTGGGTTGGTGCTCGTTCTCGCCGGATATTTTGTGCTGCTTCCCTGGGGTCATCAACTTCCTCCCCTCGCCTGGCAGAGTGAGAGGACCTCAGTAATCACCATCACCACCGAACCCTCAATTATAAACAGTCGTCACCATCTATATCTTCATGGCCATTGACAACCTTACTACCGTCATTGATAGCACCACACTTCAACTTAATTCCCACATTCAGATAAGCCGTGTACTTTGGTATTTTACGAATTTGAAGTATGAATCACACCTGATGTTTAAATTTAATGCGTAATAAAATGCATAGCAATTTTGCTGCACAGCATTGAGTTCGGAGGAGAGAAAAAAAAACTGACACCAAAGCGGTAAAGGAGGACTCCTTGATTTTTTTGTTTTATTTTGTTTTGGAATTTTAACATTGTTGAAAGACTCCTTTTGGGAATATTCTTGGGTTTTTTTGTTCTACCCTTGTAACATTGTAGTTAAACTCCACTTCTCTAGTCAATGCATATCTCATAAGTTAGCATTAAATATTGTACATTAGAAACATTGCTAAAGATTTCAAGGTAATGTTGCATTTTACCTCCTGAAATATATGCTTGCTTCGTGTCAAAATTGGAGGGAAAATTACTCAAAAGACTCAAAAAGTATCTGGCGTTTTATACACTACACTAGCTCAAGTCTTATTCGCACTCTTACCGAGTCCCACACATTCACACTCTCGTACACACCCCCTTGCACACTTTATCTCTCTCACACTTTTTCACACACATTCACTCCCTCAAACTTATATGCCCACCTCAATCAAACACGCTCACTCTCTTGGCTCCAGTCTTGCCGTTCTTCTCTCACATCCTCAGTCTTCTTCAATCATACTATATCCCCTCCATCCCCTCTCAGTGTCGGTGTTCTGCCGAGTTCGGTTTTGTGTCCCTTACTATTCTATCTCTATATTTCGCCTCTTCAATCTATTATCCCCTCTCTGCTTTCCTCATTTATTTCCTGACGATATCCAAATCTTCTTATATCCCTCATTACTCATGACCGTTCTTCTCATATCTCCTCCCGTCTGGCTGCCATCTAATCCTGGAAGGTGCTTCACTCACTCGCAATCCTTCGAAAGCATCAATAATTTTCAATCTGGTCTCTCACTCTTCACCTCCCATCCCAACCATCTTCCCTCCTCTCTTTCTCACTCCTGTTTCCTCTGCCGTCAACCTTGACTCTTCCCTTACTTTTTACACCCACATATCCGCTACTACTCGCATCTGCGGCTTTCATCTATTCAACATCAGGAAAATTCATCCTCTTATTTAAATTTCTTCCACCAAAATATTTTTTTATTTGCTGATCTTAAACCATGTGGACTAATGTAATTATTTTCTTTTTATTATCCCTGCCTCTGCTCTCACTCCCCTCCAACAGATTAAAAATACTTCTGCACCAGTTATTTTCAATCTTCCCTTCAACACTCACACTGCGTCTCTCCTCCACTTCACTGGCTTGTCGTTTACTACCGCTGTATTTTCAAATACCGAACACCTTGCCCCACCTCATGGCCTTGCCCCACCTTATCTTGCCTCTTTCATCTCCTTCCATGTCCCTACTCATCTTCTTCATTCACAATCTTCTTTCTCTTTCTGTCCCTCCTTCTGCCTGTGCCCAATTCTGTGTTCAGTCCTTCTCCCTCCTTGCACCCCTCCACTGGAATAAACTTTCCCGTACATTAAGCAGTCCCCCTACATAACCTCCTACCATTTCTCTCTTAAAGCTTACCTCTTCTCTATTGCCCTTTCTCTTCTTCGCCACTCCATTCCTTCCCATCCATTCCCTACATGTTCATGAACCGTAAGTACCCTCTATTTCTGTCTCTCATTCCATGATTAGATTATTTTACACACAAACCCATGACAGCATTTTTTCAGCTTACTATAACATGTTTTCTCTCCAGTGCATTAAACCATACATCTCTCCTTGTTGTCTTTCCATCAGCCATTGATAACATCACAGAGTCACCTTCTTCAACAACAGCCTCCCTGACCGGTCTATCCACTATCGCCCCAAGAGAAGGCGGCCCTGCTCTTGAGCAGTTCATTCAGATGTTGAGATCAGATGATGGAAGTGGTCAGGGCTGTCCCTTCATCTCCCAGCCCTGGTGCCTGCACGTCCCCGTCATCAGGTGACAGCCAATCAGGCCAGGTGTTACAATTTTTGTTGGCAGTCCTACAGGTAGCTGAGGCTAGTATCCTGGAATTGGGAAACTACCCTGGACTTGATGTTGTGGGCTTTTGTTTAACATCCTTTAAGGGCCGATCTTACCACTAGTTACATCTAGACAGAATTAAAACTGTTGAATATGGTCACTTTGTTATTTTCGTCGTTTGTTTCACGGATCCTGTGTTCCTCATATATTCCCTTTCCTGTGTACTACAGAACAGAACGTTGAAATGTCCTAGGTTTACAATTGGTAGCAGGTAAAATAATCCATTCGGACATGTAAAAATGTATTATCATTCAATGTGTTGTATATGTATTTCTTTAAACATAAGGATATATATATCTCATAGTCTAGAGTCGGATATATTTTAAAGGTATACATTTTTAAAGAAACAGCACATTTAGAAAAAGAAAACGCTAAGTGAAAACCCATGGACAGTGTATTATGTCCTGTGTATTCAATATATTTTTCCCATATGCGTGTGTCCTTATTGTTCAATATGTCCAGCCCAATGTCACTGTTCCCCATGTCTCCTGTTCAGATTGGCTCAGTTCATCTGTGGCCTTGTGCTGATTGGGGCCGGGTACCCATTGTGCACCCTCACCACCTACTCACTCTACTCCAAGATTCTCGGAGACAGACCACAGGTGCGGGAGTGTGTGTGCATTTGTGTGAATGTGCCGTGCCGACCTTCAGAGGCGCTCGCTAACAACACTTGCCCCAACAGTTTGTTAAGGCTATACAAGTGTACACATGTATGTGTGTCTTTATGTTTGAGTAATGGGGCAGTTGTGGAGTGGAAAAATTTACATCCCTGGGTAGTGTGGTTATGGCCAACTCCAGTTTGATAGGAGAGGTCTCACAAGCTATCTGGTTTCTTGCTCCACACAAAGATTTGGTTCTTCCTGGCCACAGTCATGCCATCCCTACTCTCTATGCTTGTGAAACGTGGGCCACGAATGGAACATCTGCACTGGTTTGAAATATTCATCCTGGCCTGCTTGTGTGAGGAGCTCACATATCCTTGAAAGATCCTGAAACATTCCTAATAGTTAGTTCCTCTGGCAGGCACGGCTACGTTACCTGGGTCATGTAGCTCACATGCCCAGCCATCACATGCCCAAGCAGCTTGTTTGGCCAGATAGAGGGGGCTAAACGGGTGCAGCACAGGATGGAGAAGAGATGGACTAATGCAGTACAGGAAGATGTGGACTAAGTGGACTTGTCTAAGATTGGTACCAGGGGTATCACGATCGGCCTCTGTGGAGGAGGCTCGTGAAGGACGCTACTGGGCAGTTGGAGGCAGTCGCCCTCCACCAAGGGAAGAGGAGCGATGCTCACAACGAGTGGAGAATCTGGCAGCTAAGATGCAGCATATTAACACAGGGGTGCAAGTGGGGCATCTGCCTGTCATCTCAGTCAACCCATGGCACCTGGGTCTGACCCACGACCTGCTGGCAAGCCTTCCACACTCCACGTGGCCTCAACATGCACCTAGCCTGACACAACCGCCGTGTCATCATCAATGCCACTTAACGGCGAAAAGCAGCTTTTGTTCAGAGTGTACAACAGCAGCAGTAAATGGCATCTGGACCTTGATAAAGTCTCTCCTAGGTAAACCCAGCCTAGAATGAGTTCTTTAAACATTGAGAGTATGCATGCATATTTAATTGATGTGTACAGACCCAATATCATATCTGTGCATCCATACATATCTGCTTGCATAAGGAATGCAAATGTTCTGTAACATCGGTGAGCTGTCACTTCTTTTTTTGTCCTGAGGATTTAAATGCAAGTGATATTTATTGAAGAATGAAACTGAAATATTGTATCTGTGGTGTTGGACTTTGCTTGAGAAAATGTTAAATGTGTGGCAAACCGATAATAGATGTTTACATCGTTTTCTACACTGGTGACACTAAAGCAAAATTAACAACCATAATTCCACCACCTCCAATTCTATACATTTGTGTGTGCATGTGTACTTGTTGAGCACGCAGGGTGTATTCATGGGCTGGCTGACCGCAAGCGGGAGTTTGGCACGTGTGCTCGGCCCCATGTTCGTGGCCCAGGCCTACGTGAGAGCAGGGCCCCGCATTGCCTTTGGCTCTGTGGCGGCTGTTGTGGCAGCGGCGCTGGGCCTCCTCCTCGCCACGTACCCCCACCTCCGGCCGTTGACGCCAGCGGTCATAAGCCCGGAGCACAACGAGCCACCCAGCCACTCTCCAGACTCATCAATAATGGCTGACCCTTCTGACTGTGATCAGAGGCTGCCTCTTTTAGATTAAACATCAGCTGCTTCAGCCCGCCTATAAGATGCAACCCAGTCCCAGAGAAGTAGGCATTTTCCCACACCGAGATACATTTTAAGCTTTGCCAACGAGTTAACAGATTTGAAAATCATGTCAGGAACATCACTATTGCACTCTGTTGATGTCACTGTGACATATCACCGAAATGTATTTTTCGTTCTCATTAAGTTTCAAACATATGTTGGGCAGCAGGAAACAGCTTACGTGCATATCTACAAGAGTTAGTGTGTAGCATCCTTATTTACAAAGCTATCTATTCTGATTACAGCCAAAAGTCCTCTGGCTGAGCATAAACGTCAACCCTTAGACTGTAAACAATATCCACCCATTATGAGGTCTTCTGACCAATCACTCTTTTAACACGAAACCGCTTCCCTCTCAAAGACTGGCACAGACGAGGAAGAAATAGACACTGTAGTTTATTTGACCATTTCAATCAAAATATTGCGAATTAATTTGGTACGTGTACATATTAATTTCATTTGTGATATTTACATTTCTATTTAAATAATGTATTTTTTAAATTTGTTTATAATGGTGAACAAAAATGCAATGTATAAAATTTGTAATGATAAATGTAAAATTAACGGTTCTGTAAATGTTTCAATTGTGTAGTGCGAAAACGGTAGTTCTGTGTACAGTTTTGCATTTTTTTGTCCATGGAACAAAATGAGTTGTTAAATTAAAAGCAAATATAAACATGACTCCATTCTGTCAATAAAATATTTCTTAGTCTATTGGTTCTCCAGACCAACATCACCTGGCAACTTTGTTTAAGCCAGAATACTGGACTGCTTTTGACCTGGGTTTTATAAGCAGTCAGGCATGTTAAACATCCTGCTGGATTACTAGATATTAATGGAGAGAGGATCTCGTATAAATGTGATTCTGCCGACACCCAGATCTAAACCGGTCCAGTTTGCATGCTTCAACAAATGCTGGTTGAAACATGTTGCTCTGCAATACCAATAAGCTGATAGACTGAAACATTGTGTTATATGTGGTGGAAAAATGGAGTTGTGCTTATGTCTGCTGCTAACCATGTTCCACAACACCACTGTATAAACCAGTGTAAAGCCATACCCTATGGCCCTTAGCCATGAGGTCTACCATTTCAAAACGGGTCGCAATCTACATTACATCACCTTGGCTACACCAATTCTAGAATGGTAACTAATATATACATGTACTGTATGTACACATTTTTCTAGCATATTAGCACAATGCACTTGGATCCTGGAATTTGGGTTCTTCAGTTCCACATTCAAGTCTTCATCTGCATTGGTCCTTACTGAAATGAGTACGGAGAGCAGTGGCTTTCAACATTATTGGTATGGTCGCCCCCCAATCAAGACCACTTGATTGGGGGGCTACCTGCTTTGGGGGGGTGCAGAACGGGTTGAGAAATGCTGACCCAGAGTGTGGACATCCATGATAGACACCAGAATGTGCTGTGCAGGCCTTAATAGGTGCTAACAGCACTTGCCTTGTCGTTATTACTGTTTATCTGCCAAGGATGGGGCACCTTGTCCTTATTGGGGGCTGATTAAGCCATTTAAACCACTTGTGGACAACACATTGTTAACTACCTCGCCTGGTGTACAGGTGTAGAAACACAAATAGAGGTCATTGCGTTGTTGCGTCAGCCACGGTTTCTGGGGGACACGTGACCGGGAGCCGGGAGCTCCGGACTTGATACAGCAGGGGGCGTGGCCGAGGGCGGAGGGAGGCCGCGTGCCAGGGACGTGAAGGGGAAGCGGCCGAGAGAGATTCGGGTCTCGTTTTGTGGGGATCAACTGGAAGTTCTTCGCTCCTCGTTCGTCGTGCAGTCTTGACTGGGATTCGTCAGGCAGCATGTGTGCTGCCTGACGAATCCCAGTCAAGACTGCCCATTCGTTTAGTTAAGGTACCGTCCATAAATGACGTCACGCACCTAGGGGTGGGGGGTGTCATACATTTGTGACGATGTGTGACGAGGGGGGGGGTTGAGAAATGTGACGTCATATCAAAATGCGCAACTTTAAATAAATATAGACAACCCGTTCTACTTAAATTTCGATTTAAAGCTTTCGTGACTGCAGTTGTACACTACAATGACAATAGTTTAAAGCGATTTGAAGCATGTTTTATTATTTGTGGGGGGGGGGCAGAGCTTTGTGACGTCATATTTGAGGGGGGGGGGGTCTGACTTTTTGTGATGCTGTGTGACTAGGGGGGAGGGGGGTAAAAAATTCGTCCAAAATCGCGTGACGTCATTTATGGACGGCCCCTAACGCACACGCACATCGCGACAGATAGCCACACCTAGCTCGCGCACTCAAGAGTGTTCAGTTTGTTTATTAAGCGTGTTGCCTCCAACGTACAGTGTGTGCGCGTCTCCATGCATGTCCGTGGGCTTAATCCAAACCCTGACAACCTGTATATTTGGAGTTTGCATGTTTTCCCCGTGGTCGTATAGATTTTTCTCCGTGTCCTTCGGTGACCCGCATTTTAAAACATGCGTTTAGAGTAGTTGGCTTCCGTACATTACCACATCAGCCACTTCGTAGAGCTTTCATTTGTGGCCAGGTTGCTTCTGAAAAAGCGAAATAGCTCAGTGGGTCTTACCTGTTAAATAAGATGCATGCAAAAATAATTAGGGCTCGCCTTTACAGGTGACTGGGAGTGCTACATTTAGATAGTTACTCGGGGCTGAACAATTAATCGATTTCAAATCGAAATCGCAATTTGATACAATGCGATTAGTAAATTGCAAAGGCTGTGCAATTTGAAAAGTCATGCTACTTATTGGAATTGTTTTATTTTTGTTATAACCTTCTTTATTTAACTTAATTGTTCTATGTTTCATTGTGCTACGTTGGAAGCAATTCATATCTTTAAGTTCTCATCCTTGCATTAGAGCAGTTGATATTTTGATGGTATCACGTGGTAATGCTCCATCACATGTGTTGTCGTAGAACCACGTGGAGACAGAACTTCTTGTAAGGGCTTTCGCCTTTTATTAAACACGGGTTAAACACTCGGCTCACACCAGGGGTAGGTATCCTCTCGTCCTAACCTCGGCTATCCCCTGGGCTCTCTCACTCGGGACGGGGGTTCATCCAACGCCACCCGGCCGAGGAGAGAAGAACCCCACTCACTCTCAGCTGATTCTCACAGACTTCTTCGAGCCCTACTCTCGGCTATCTCTTCGGCTCTCCCACTCGTCCACCCCGGACGGGGGTTCAGCCAACACCGTGCGGTCACGAGCGGGAGAGACCTCCTGCAGCCAATTCACACTCCGGGCTCCCACAACGACCACGCCCCTCGTCACGGGGTCCCCCTTAATTACCCCTTGGGCAGCTCCTCCCTTTCACTTGGACCCCACCCGTTCTCGGCGTCTTACAGCGCTCATGACATGACGTCATCACACCTTACAACGCCCATGGCATGACGTCACACTACTCTACACGTTTTAAATCTATTACACAGTGAATATTGAACTGAAGCTTGACTTCAATTTTTCTATCGCAAATCAAATCGCAATGTCGGAGAAATCGCAATTAGATATTTTCCACAAATCGTTCAGCCCTAGTATATACAAATATTCCCTTTTGGACTTATTATATTCTGAGAATAAAAGTGAGCACCCTATGACGGCAGACTGCATAAGCGAATGGTGTGGCCAGTATACCCGGCAGCCACCTTCATTCCAGTGCTGTTAACAAACAATATCACAAACATTGAAGGCCAAGTTGACCAAATGCAGAATACCATTCCAAGTGTCAATTGTTTTTACATCCCTGAACTTACATTGAGATAACAAATCTCAAAGGTCTACCTACATGGTAAAATGGCAGGTTGAAAGACTTGTCCTTAAGCTTGTACCGTTCATGAATTAAACACTCATACTGTTAAAAGTGTTTATTTCCATGTCTTTTAAACACAATTGACATCATTTCTCTGGTCAACAAATATTTTCCATGTTTTGATGCTTATATTGTATGTGTTGCGCATGAGTGTATGAATGTGGTTGCTTGTATATGAAGTGATTGATGGTACAGTTAAGCCTAATATATATAGTACACAGTACACAAAAAAACATTATTTAAACATCATTTCAGATGTTCGAATTCCTCCAAAAATAACTTTTCTTCTAGCCCTTTCAGGTTCATCCACAGATGCGTCACCTCACCTCAAACACTTTCCAAACAGCCTCGTCCCATTTGAGAAACATGTGAGTCACTGGTTACTTGATCTGGAGGAAAGGCAGGATGTGGAAGCTCCTCCATGAAAAAGTGCCTGTTAAGACTTGTCCCAGTCTCCGTTTACGAGGTCAACATTGTCATTAGACGTTATCAGACACTCCCTCTTGGTGTCGTATGTCAGCATTCTGAGGACCCACATCTTGTTCATTCCCCATATGATCATGCCATAACGTTTCTCCCGATCCCACACTTGTGCCTAAGCTGCCAGCTAAATGTACAACAGTAACACAGTTAAAATAAAATAAATGAAAACTAAATTAAATCACAACGTTTCGGAGGCAACACAAGTTTCCGTCTTCAGTTGGAAAAGACAGCAAAATTAACTGTATCAAAAACGTCGTGATTTAATTTAGTTTTCATTTATTTTATTTTACCTACGTGACTTTACCGAAAAAAAACAAAGAGTATGAATCCTTGCAGTCACGAAAGCTTCAAATCTAGAAGTAACACAGTTGTTTTTCAAACCACGTCTTGCACAGACTGGATATATTCGCAAGTCACTGCAGTCACAGGCTACCCTGACCTGGCGTTATCTCCAAGAATCTCACTGCCATAAATACATTCTGTAGCCCCAGCACCAAACTTCTGCACAATGATGCATTGTCCCCATACACTTTCAAGATGAGTTCGTACTGTCATAAAATGCGTATTTGTTCTGCCATAAAACACATTTGCTCTACGCTCACGCAGTCTCATTCACACAATTAGTGTTCTTCAGCGTCAATATTTTTACGACAGTACGATTCTTGATTTTTGACTGTCAGCATCCAAGCATAGAAACAAAGCAATCTAGAATGTGGTCCCCTAGCTGTCTGAATACACCCAAATGTATCTGTAATATAAATGGTCTTTTTATATTTTCTTCTGTACTAGACTCAGAACTTTTTGTACCGTGTCGCATATACCATAGAGGTGCAATTATATGATTAAGTGCATGTACATGTGCGCATGTGTGGGTGCATGCATGCACATGTCATATGTAAAAGCAATAGGACACATTGGGGTGCTGTATTCACTTACGTGGATATACTGTATGGCACTGCCTAACAAGTGTTTGCATATATACAGCATAAAAATGTATGTGTTACTACGTGTGTGTGTATGTGTAGGTGTACGAGTAGTTGTGTATGTGTGTGGTCGTATTCATGTGTGCGACGTATATATTCCAGCCATGCAATGGTTCACCCCCTGCAATTTGATGAATTGTCACTTAATCCCATCCATCACTCCTCCCATTCATCTCCATACTGATTCTTCTTCACTGCAAAGAGAAAGGAAAGGATTAACAGAATTCATGCATTTGTCTTAGCACAAGGTTTAACCACAGTTCTTGATACAAATATGTTACACATCTGTATAAGTGTACTCCTAAGTGCATGGATGCAACTATTAATTGGTGGTTGTGTCCATTATGTGATTGTATGTGTGGTTATATTAATACATGTTGAACTATATATGTAAATGTTACATTTGTGTTTGCATGTTTCTATGCGTGTTGTGATATGTGTGTATATATGTAGATTGCAAGTGTGCTTATGTGTTTGGTGGAGCAGTAGTTTAGACCAATACCTCGGTCGTGGCTGATCATTGTTTTAATACTGTGGGCTCACACGATATTAATTTTTACAAGACGAAGGTACTCTGCAAACCTACTGGCTATCATTTAAGATTTGTTCATGAAGTCATCCAGATATATATAGACACAACTTCAACCGAGAAGACGGGTACAAATTGAGCAATCATTGGAAGGACGTGATTAACCAGGTAAAGTCTTAACTTGCTATGATGTTTCCATCCTTTCTACCGATGTTAACTGACTCTGAGTTTCATTACTAGGTTGGATGTCTTTGTATTGACAGGCTGGGTGTCCACTACCCGAGCTTCTGTGGTTAGGCCATCTCTAGCTCCACCCACCTACCTTGATGCACCCATCTCAGGCCTATATAAGACCTTGTCTCAGCAGCTTTCTCTCTCTCTCTCACCTGAAGACGATTGCTTGTGTTGCGATCGAAACGCTGTGATCGATTATTTCTATTTACGTGACTTGACCGAAAGACCCAAAGAGTTCAGTAGTTTAGTGGTTACGCACACTGTGCCATACACCCGGCAACCTGAGTTCAATCCTAGCCCACAGCTAACATCCGTGGTGGTTATTTGAATCAGTCCTATGCCTCCCTTAGGTTGACTAATCCTGACCTGGTGCAGTGTGTAAACATCAGCAATGGGGAAACAAGGGCAATCGAGTGTGATGTTGGCTCCTCAGTCGCTTGTATTCCGTGCCAGCCTTCATAGGTCGCTAAAAATAGTCTTTGTGTACATGTAGGTGAGGTGCGAGGTTGTGATGATATAATAGTACCTGCGCTGGTGTCAGGTTGACGAGGGGGTGGCCTGGTTGTGGGCGGCATGTTCTGTCTCCGTGACTGCTCGAAGTTATCACGGTTCTGGCTCCTCAGCTGATCATAAGACAGGTAGGCACGTGTTTGCTGATCTAGATTCACACACAAAAACAAATATCACACATACGGTATATATCACATATATAAACAAACACACCATATGCCACATACACGTCCTACATACACGTACCCCATACAGAGTGCATATCACATACAGTGCATACCCTGTCCACACACCACAACCGCCATTCTCCACTAAGTGGCAGTGATGTCACCATAGTGCTTTTGCCACTTTGAGGCCACGTGAAATGTTGAAGGCCCGCTGGCAGGTCACTGGACAGACGCAGGTGCCATGGGGTGACTGAGATGACTGGCAGATGCACCACCTGTGACCTCGACCGTGCCAACTTGCTGTGCTTTAGCTGCCCGCACATAACCCATACAGTGCATACCACATCCACATACAATACAAGGTCAAATTGCCTCGCAAAAATTCCACATCTAGTCTGAGAGCCTGTTTTGTCTTAGGGCAATCATTCTTGCCTTCTGACAAAACAGTAAAAATTTTATCGAAGCAGAACAAATTCACTGTTCGTTAAGCAGATCACATAACCATTAAAATATTCCCCTTTTATCCAGAGCAGACCGTGATGTGCTGTTAGCAACGTCTAAGAAGGGACAGCAATGCAAATGGTGGCATTGGTTTCAGCACCACTTATGGCCAGCTATCTTTGTGTTCAGAGATGATAAAAATGTGACAAAAATTATTAACTTTTTTTTATTCAATCTCACCTCTGAATTGCAAATTTCTTTTAAATTACATGTATAAATTGTTACACCTCTATGTCAACTATGCACTAGTTTCTATGCACTAGTTTCACCCTCATTGTGGGTCATGAGAGGAGATGGCATCCAGGATGGGAAGTCTCACCACTGTCAAGAGAATTGAGTTGCGGGAAGGCTTCTGTCACCTTTTGGTCAGCAATTACAACCTCTTCTGCAAACAACAACACAATCAACATCATTGGCAGCAGCAATAATTGGGACAACATTATTGCCATCAACCAGTATTACAATTAATATAATATTCATCACTTTCGCTAATGATGGAATGTTCTCATATTACTAGATTTAGCATTAAACATCACTAACATACAAATTATCACCACCAACAATAATTACCCACACCACTACGATAAACATCATAAATCCAATCTGAATGATCACCATCATTCTCTGCATCTTTACGAACAATAGTATTAACTGCTTGTTTAACGTTGTCATCAGTATCATCAGAAATGTCAGCATCATGTGTAGGATGAGCATTTACAAAACCACCACCACTATCACCATTGCTAGCCATGCTGTGAGCATGACATCACCTGGGTCATACGGGACGTACGCGTCCAGCACAGGTATGTCCACATCTTCGGACACAGATGACTCTGAGCCCACACTGCATATTCACGACACACACATACAGACATAAATACAAAGAAATGTGCCGCCACACACAGGCAATCGCAAATGTAAGAAAATTGGGCAGGGACATACTGACTCAGATATGTAGGCTGGAAACAAAGCAGTGTAATTTTATGTACAGAAATCACCTTTGTGTGTATTTTTACTCTTAAACTAAATTATATAATGCAGATTCAAATGCAACATGTCTCCCAGTTGTAGAGCAACATGGATATAATAATTGTTTTAGACAATACGATTGCCAGAAAATTGCACCATATTTCATCTTCAGCCATGCACTCTATCTACGTTGGCTGTATAAGTGCAATTCTTCAGTATGTCTTAACCGTTAGTGTTTTGGGTCTCAGCTGTCTCTTACTTGGCCATGCCTTTCTCAGCCATGTCGATGTCCCATGCTTTTGTCTTTAAATGTGCATAGTTTACGCATCCACCTTAAAACTGCCTCTGGATTAACTATGTGTGTGCGAATTGAGAATGTGTCAACTTAGTTGCCTCGTATGGGGTGCTGCTTTAAGTCTGATCGAGTGAGTGTCGCACCCAGTGGACTTTTCCTGGAACATGGCAGGTCCCAGTTTACCCCCTGTCCTCATGGCGTTGGCCAGAGGGGAGTTTTCCAGACGCATGATGCGGTCACGGCACACACCAATGTAAGAGATGCGCCCAATGAAGTAGCCAAACATTCCAGCAACTACACACACAAAAAAGACAAAGATCCAGATATGATCATATAGGCTGTTGAGGTAAGGGCTGTTATTGAAGATCTATTAAGGCTGGAATGATAAATGAGGGAGTGATGTAACCATAACCATACATGGCCATCTGTCTCCAATGCTGAAGTTTAACACACTGCAACAGGTCAATCATTTAAGGCCGAGTCAATCTAGGCAGAAGCCCGACACAGGTTTACCTATCATTTGACACTGATGTGACCCACGGATGGAATTGAATGTATGTCACGGAATCATAGTTCAGCGTGATAACCACTGCAACACTACTCCCAAACCACACACACACGTCTCCATTTAGCTTAAATATGCTAAGCTAACTAATCTGTTATGTTATAGACATTTACCTAGGCTGTATGTCCTGGGCTTCTGACACAAGCTTGAAGTTCAATAACGAAAATATACATTTAAAGTTACAGTCAGGCATCCCACTATGGTACCCGCTAGGGCGTCCCTACATTGACGCCGAATTAAAAAACATAGGAAATGATATGAAAAATGTCAACAGGGTGGTAAAATGATACATTTGACATAAAATGTTTCTACATTTATGCCAGGTCACTGTGGTATAACCCAACAATCTATTATGAATCGTAATATTGTCAGCATAAACCTACGTGTTAACTTAAAATTGGTGTCAAAGAACAAACATAACAAAAAAAGTACAATCTGAAAGGTGAGAGCTGCTTGCTTTCTGTGCTGCTTCTTTAACCATGGGAGACACTGCTGAGGAAGAATTCCATAGGTGGAAGCTGAGAAAGATTCAAGCTTATTTTGTTTAACAGGGTGAGAACTCAAGCAACCAGGATAAGTCTCACCAAAATTACAAACGCCAAACCAAATCAAGTACAATTTATGAAGCAAAAAATAATTTTAAAAAATATTTTCACTTGAGAAATCAAAAACATTATACGAACATTAATTAATGTTAAATTATAAATCCTCTCTAGTGTAAGTCGGCTCGAAATGGTTGGGGTACTGAAGCACATACAAAATACTTTGGGGATGCTGCCAAAACGAGGGGAGGGTGACAGCCGCCCGATGGAGACCAGATAGTGAGTCCCAGCCATGGCTGCCAACGACAATGGGACCGCTGCACACACACACACACAGGTAGACTTGTTATATATGCACCCAAATATACATACGTATATAATACACATATATCCAGATACATATGTATGCACACACATTAAATACACACCCCAATAAGCATACATATGCATAATATACCCAGATACAAATGCACACACATTACAACACTAACAGCAGCCTCCATTCGCCACTAATCGGAAGTGAAGTCACCATAGTGTTTGTGCCAGGCCAGGTGTACCGAGGCCATGTGAAGTGTTGAAGGTTCTTTGACAGGAGGTCACGGGGCAGACCCAGGTACCATGGGTTGATTGACTGAGATCATTGGCAGATGCACCACCTGTGTCCCCTTGCTACATTTTAGCCGCCCGGCACTCCACTCGTTGTTGCGAGCGTCACTCCTCTGCCCTGCCCTCCATTGTTGTTGCAGGGTGCCTGTCTCCAGCTACCCAGTAGAGTCCTTGTCTCGAGCCTCCTCCATCGAGGTTGATCTTGTCACCGCTTGTACAAGTCTTCGGCAAGTCCACTCAGATCCACATCCTCCTGTACCGCATCAGTCCCCAGCCCATGCCTCACCTGTTTAGTCCTCTCTATCCAGCCAAACAGAAGCTGCTTGGGCATGCGGGCTACAGGACCCAACCAAAGCATCATTGCCTTCCAGGAGCGAATTGATGGGAATGTGTCCAGATCTATTAAGAATCTGTGAGCTCCTCACACAATCCAGCCTGGTTAAAACCAGGATGGATCATAGGTAGGCCAGCCTGAAAGTTTCAAACTGGTACAGATGTTCCAATGGAGGGGTCCACATTTCACAAGCAAAGAGAAGTGAGGGCATGACTGTAGGCAGAAGAGCCAGAGCTTTGTGTGGAATAACAGACCACACAGCCTCCACTCAGATTCATGGAGCTGACAAAAGATGCCACTAGGTTTATTCGGAGTGAGACCTTTGCTGCCAAACTGGAGTTGGTCATAAGCACATTACCCAGGTACGGAAATCTCTCCACTCTCTCCAAAATTGGCCCATCACTTATGGGGAGTTGAGGGGGTGGAGTATTGGATGATACAAAATACCCAGGCAGGTGCTTCGTTTTGGTGGGGCTGGTGGTAAACTCCACCTATTAGGAGCATGTTCCAGGTTCAGCAGCAGAATCTCAAACTCCAGACGAGGTTAGAATGGGGTCCTAGGTGGGAATATGGCCAGCTACCTTTGTGTCTCTCCACAGCTGATGTTTATCACACTAATCCAGGTACACAATTTGGGCTGAGCTGAATTAGTAGACGGTGAGCCTTGAATTGATCTCAAATTGAACTTGCCAAACGTAAATATTTATAGGAAAATAAATCTCATATGGATTCATAATTTTAGAAAACTGAATACATCCTGAGTGTGATCACCTTTGACTCTACAAGTTAGGTGCTGATTAAGGAATTACACTACACAACTGTAGCACAGTGAACCACTTTGACACTGCTATACACCTTAAACCCACAAACATTCTTATATTCACACGTACCACGGTAAATGCTGTCCTTTTTACATTCCTGCAAGACTTGCCTTTCTTCTTCTGTTGGAATATATCCTCTATTTGCTTGAAAAGCCTACACAACATAGGATGGAAAATTCACTCACCAGCTCATACTTATAAGTATCATTACACACAAGTAACTGACTCACAAAGACCCCCCATATAGCCTTCAACAGGCTATTGGGGCAAGTGTGGCCAGTACCATGCCCAGTACCATGACCAGCCACCTTTGTCTGCCAAATTGTTTACTAGATATCGCACCAGGTACTCATTTAAGGCTGAGTCAATTTAGACGTGTGTCACCCCACCCGACTCCTTTTAGCTTACACGGGAGTTGCTCATGATTATTATCAGCAAGTATTTCAGGCATCCACACTGCATGTGTACCATCCGACAGAAAATTCAGTGACATGGGTCAATAAAAATGGACACATCCGCTTGAAGGCTACAACAGCACATATTACACAGGTTAGGCAACGCGGTAGATTTATGGCTAAATTGTGAATAAGTTTGTTGTAAAACTACAAAAAGTTTGGCATAAAACTACCATGTGACGAACCCAAAAAAAATGAATCAACAGCAAGCATACCAATGTATTGAAGAGGAAAATCTCTATACCCAAGTTAATAACTTAAACAGCAATTTCTGCCAAGACACTTGGATTAATACAAAAGCCATCATCTTCCACGATAATCATTGCAATTATGTCAAGGCTCTGATTTGTTTAGGATATTTTCAGTTAGGGAATTTTTTTAATGTTCTGGAAAATTGGCATTAAGACATACAAATTGAGGTTTAGATGCTTCATATAATAGAAACAAAATTCAATTGATTTGTTGAACAGAATCATTGATTCACCACATTATAGAGATGGATAAAGGTGCATTGAAACATACTAGTTTTCACATTGCCGTAGTGGCATTAGAAGTTTGTTACGCTGCACAAGAGCTGCTGTTAAGAGCCTTCGTTAAAATATCATTGTTAAAGAGTTACGGTGAGCATGAATTTGTCGTGATTATTGCTTAACAAGTATTACATCTGATAGTATACACCAGATTTAGAATGCAAGCAACAACAAGGCTCTGTCTCTATAACCAAAGTCTCTAACCAGTCTCTGTAACAAAATCCTGTTGCCAGTCTTTGAAACCAGTCCGTTCCTATCACGGTTTCTAGAACCAGTCTCTTGCCCAACACCACGTGCATATGTTGAACTTCTTTTGCACCGTACGTAGCCAACCAGTCTCAGTAACCAGTATCTGTCCCTGATGCGAGTCTCAGTAACCAGTCTCTCCCTACCACCAGTCTCAGGAACCAGTCTTAGCAACCACAGTCTCAGTAGCCAGTCTCAGCAACCACAGACTCAGCAACCACAGTCTCAGCAACCAAAGTCTCAGCAACCACAGACTCAGCAACCACAGTCTCAGCAACCACAGTCTCAGCAACCACAGTCTCAGTAACCACAGTCTCAGTAACCACAGTCTCAGCAACCACAGTTTCAGTAACCAGTCTCAGTAACCACAGTCTCAGTAACCACAGTCTCAGTAACCACAGTCTCAGTAACCACAGTCTCAGCAACCACAGTCTCAGTAACCACAGTTTCAGTAACCACAGTCTCAGTAACCACAGTCTCAGTAACCACAGTCTCAGTAACCACAGTCTCAGTAACCAGTCTCAGTACCACAGTCTCAGTAACCACAGTCTCAGTAACCACAGTCTCAGTAACCACAGTCTCAGCAACCACAGTCTCAGTAACCACAGTCTCAGCAACCACAGTCTCAGTAACCACAGTCTCAGTAACCACAGTCTCAGTAACCACAGCCTCAGTAACCAGTCTCAGCAACCACAGTCTCAGTAACCAGACTCAATAACCACAGTCTCAGTAACCACAGTCTCAGTAACCACAGTCTCAGTAACCACAGCCTCAGTAACCAGTCTCAGTAACCAAAGTCTCAGTAACCACAGTCTCAGTAACCAGTCTCAGCAACCACAGTCTCAGCAACCACAGTCTCAGCAACCACAGTTCAGCAACCACAGTCTCAGCAACCACAGTCTCAGCAACCACAGTCTCAGCAACCACAGTCTCAGCAACCACAGTCTCAGCAACCACAGTCTCAGCAACCACAGTCTCAGCAACCACAGTCTCAGCAACCACAGTCTCAGCAACCACAGTCTCAGTAACCACAGTCTCAGTAACCACAGTCTCAGTAACCAGTCTCAGCAACCACAGCCTCAGTAACCACAGCCTCAGTAACCACAGTCTCAGTAACCACAGTATATCGGTAGCAAGTCTCAGTAACCACAGTCTCAGTAACCACAGTCTCAGTAACCACAGCCTCAGTAACCAGTCTCAGTAACCACAGACTTAGTAACCACAGTCTCAGCAACCACAGTCTCAGTAACCACAGTCTCAGTAACCACAGTGTCTCAGTAACCACAGTGTATCAGTAACCACAGTGTATCAGTAACCACAGTGTATCAGTAACCACAGTCTCAGTAACCACAGTCTCAGTAACCACAGTGTATCAGTAACCACAGTGTATCAGTAACCACAGTGTATCAGTAACCACAGTCTCAGTAACCACAGTCTCAGCAACCACAGTCTCAGTAACCACAGTCTCAGTAACCACAGTCTCAGTAACCACAGTCTCAGTAACCACAGTCTCAGCAACCACAGTCTCAGCAACCACAGTCTCAGTAACCACAGTCTCAGTAACCACAGTGTATCAGTAACCACAGTCTCAGTAACCACAGTCTCAGTAACCACAGTCTCAGTAACCACAGTGTATCAGTAACCACAGTGTATCAGTAACCACAGTGTATCAGTAACCACAGTCTCAGTAACCACAGTGTATCAGTAACCACAGTGTATCAGTAACCACAGTCTCAGTAACCACAGTGTATCAGTAACCACAGTCTCAGTAACCACAGTCTCAGCAACCACAGTCTCAGCAACCACAGTCTCAGTAACCACAGTCTCAGTAACCACAGTCTCAGTAACCAGTCTCAGTAACCAGTCTCAGCAACCACAGCCTCAGTAACCACAGCCTCAGTAACCACAGTCTCAGTAACCACAGTATATCGGTAGCAAGTCTCAGTAACCACAGTCTCAGTAACCACAGTCTCAGTAACCACAGCCTCAGTAACCAGTCTCAGTAACCACAGACTTAGTAACCACAGTCTCAGCAACCACAGTCTCAGTAACCACAGTCTCAGTAACCACAGTGTCTCAGTAACCACAGTGTATCAGTAACCACAGTGTATCAGTAACCACAGTGTATCAGTAACCACAGTCTCAGTAACCACAGTCTCAGTAACCACAGTGTATCAGTAACCACAGTGTATCAGTAACCACAGTGTATCAGTAACCACAGTCTCAGTAACCACAGTCTCAGCAACCACAGTCTCAGTAACCACAGTCTCAGTAACCACAGTCTCAGTAACCACAGTCTCAGTAACCACAGTCTCAGCAACCACAGTCTCAGCAACCACAGTCTCAGTAACCACAGTCTCAGTAACCACAGTGTATCAGTAACCACAGTCTCAGTAACCACAGTCTCAGTAACCACAGTCTCAGTAACCACAGTGTATCAGTAACCACAGTGTATCAGTAACCACAGTGTATCAGTAACCACAGTCTCAGTAACCACAGTCTCAGTAACCACAGTCTCAGTAACCACAGTGTATCAGTAACCACAGTGTATCAGTAACCACAGTCTCAGTAACCACAGTGTATCAGTAACCACAGTGTATCAGTAACCACAGTCTCAGTAACCACAGTCTCAGCAACCACAGTCTCAGTAACCACAGTCTCAGTAACCACAGTCTCAGCAACCACAGTCTCAGCAACCACAGTCTCAGTAACCACAGTCTCAGTAACCACAGTGTATCAGTAACCACAGTGTCAGCAACCACAGTCTCAGTAACCACAGTGTATCAGTAACCACAGTGTATCAGTAACCACAGTCTCAGTAACCACAGTGTATCAGTAATCACAGTCTCAGTAACCACAGTCTCAGTAACCACAGTGTATCAGTAACCACAGTCTCAGTAACCACAATGTATCAGTAACCACAGTCTCAGTAACCACAGTCTCAGTAACCACAGTCTCAGCAACCAGTCTCAGTAACCACAGTCTCAGCAACCACAGTATATCAGTAACCACAGTATATCAGTAACCACAGTATATCAGTAACCACAGTATATCAGTAACCACAGTCTCAGTAACCACAGTATATCAGTAACCACAGTATATCAGTAACCACAGTATATCAGTAACCACAGTATATGAGTAACCACAGTATATCAGTAACCACAGTATATCAGTAACCACAGTGTATCAGCAACCACAGTCTCAGTAACCACAGTCTCAGTAACCAGTCTCAGTAACCACAGTCTCAGCAACCACAGTCTCAGTAACCACAGTCTCAGTAACCACAGTCTCAGTAACCACAGTCTCAGCAACCACAGTCTCAGCAACCACAGTCTCAGCAACCACAGTCTCAGCAACCACAGTCTCAGTAACCACAGTCTCAGTAACCACAGTCTCAGCAACCACAGTCTCAGTAACCACAGTGTATCAGTAACCACAGTCTCAGTAACCACAGTGTATCAGTAACCACAGTGTATCAGTAACCACAGTGTATCAGTAACCACAGTCTCAGTAACCCCAGTGTATCAGTAACCACAGTCTCAGCAACCACAGTGTATCAGTAACCAGTCTCAGTAACCACAGTATATCAGCAACCACAGTATATTAGTAACCAGTCTCAGTAACCACAGTCTCAGTAACCACAGTCTCAGTAACCACAGTATATCAGTAACCACAGTGTATCAGCAACCATAGTCTCAGTAACCACAGACCCAGTAACCAGTCTCAGTAACCACAGTCTCAGCAACCACAGTCTCAGTAACCACAGTCTCAGTAACCACAGTGTATCAGTAACCACAGTATATCAGTAACCACAGTGTATCAGCAACCACAGTCTCAGTAACCACAGTCTCAGTAACCACAGTGTATCAGTAACCACAGTATATCAGTAACCACAGTGTATCAGTAACCACAGTCTCAGTAACCACAGTGTATCAGTAACCACAGTCTCAGTAACCACAATATATCAGTTGCAAGTCTCCATCACGGGGAGCGAAGTGAACCAGGCCTCGGCCCCACGAGTCCCTCGCAAGTCCCACGCTCTTATACAACGCGAACCTGTTCGCCTCCGTGCGCGCTTTGCCTGTGATCATCCGCCGCGTAGCCGTCGCCGCGCGCAGACATCGCAGTTGACTGTCGTGGTAATTGAGAGTAAAGTATTGTTTGTGTTGTATTTTATATAAACAAAACCGTCTCGGTTTAAACCAAAAAAAACTTCACCCTACTGCCAGCGAGGCCTCAAAGTGACCTCCGCCTGCACGCTCGTCCCTCGTCGTCATTGGCCCAGCCGGAGCACGTGTGATCGCCGCCGACCAATCGGAGCGGCCCCGGTGACCCGCGGAGGAGGGGGGGGGTCGCCCGTGCCATCTGCGATTTGGATAACGCGGCGATGAGGGGTGACGCCTGTTATGTTAATAATCAATTAATTAGTGTTCCAATCGTGTTACGCAAACCAAATCAAGCTGCCGCGGTTGTAACAGTTTATAGCACGCGAAGATTCGTCCTGACGTTCGACTCCTTCTCCCGAACCGGAAATTTTCGCAATGAAATCGCCCTGCAACCACCAGCCCCACCTCCACACCGCGGCCTGTCCACCGTTGCGTGCAAACTGGATAACGCCGCAGTGAGTCGTGTGGCTGGGTAAAGTGTGGATACCACCACCCCTTCCGACACATGGAAACAGTGGTGAACGTGGAGGAACGGACCAAAGACCCTCTTAAAGAAGTTGGCTTGAGCGGAGGCCCTTCTGCCAGCAGTGAAATCGCTGATGACCTTCAGGGGCTGCGATTTTTTTGTCTCCCCACTTTGCAATGTTACAGGGAGGTGCTCTTTTATCTTCTTTGACAATGTAATTCAAAAGATTTCCATAGCTGCAACAGGTTAATTTCCATCTGACACGATACAATGAGGTTGACTGACGCAGCCGAGGGACAGGCACAGCCAGGAGATGGCTGCCAACTTGTCAACCATGTTATATATTCAAATGGACTGATAGTTGCCGAGTGATGGATGCCTTACCATCACTCCACTCAAACTAAGCACCTGACTTGGAATTCTATGTCATCAAATAGCACAACCTCAACTCTCTATGGGTACAAAGGGGCAGTTAAGCAGTGGACAATTTCCACACCAGGGCAGTATGCTCTTGACCAGCTCGATTTTGGCGGTCTCGCTGCGCACCTGTCGATCAGCATTCTTTTCATTTAACTTGGTAGAAGTTGCCTGGTCCGTCATTCCACACGGACTTCTTTGAAAGTACAGTGAGGGAAAAAAGTATTTGATCCCCTGCTGATTTTGTACGTTTGCCCACTGACAAAGAAATGATCAGTCTATAATTTTAATGGTAGGTTTATTTGAAGGGAGACAGAATAACAACACAAAAATCCAGAAAAACGTATGTCAAAATTTCATAAATTGATTTGCATTTTAATGAGGGAAATAAGTATTTGACCCCCTCTCAATAAAAAAAAATTCTGGCTCCCAGGTGTCTTTTATACAGGTAACGAGCTGAGATTGGGAGCACACTCTTAAAGGGAGTGCTCCTAATCTCAGCTTGTTACCTGTATAAAAGACACCTGTCCACAGAAGCAATCAATCAGATTCCAAACTCTCCACCATGGCCAAGACCAAAGAGCTCTCCAAGGATGTCAGGGACAAGATTGTAGACCTACACAAGGCTGGAATTGGCTACAAGACCATTGCCAAGCAGCTTGGTGAGAAGGTGACAACAGTTGGTGCGATTATTCGCAAATGAAAGAAACACAAAAGAACTGTCAATCTCCCTCGGCCTATGGCTCCATTCAAGATCTCACCTCGTAAAGTTGCAAAGATCATGAGAACGGTGAGGAATCAGCCCAGAACTACACGGGAGGATCTTGTCAATGATCTCAAGGCAGCTGGGACCATAATCACCAAGAAAACAATTGGTAACACACTACGCCGTGAAGGACTGAAATCCTACAGCGCCTGCAAGGTCCCCCTGCTCCAGAAAGCACACATACATGCCCGTCTGAAGTTTGCCAATGAACATCTGAATGATTCAGAGGACAACTGGGTGAAAATGTTGTGGTCAGGTGAGACCAAAATGGAGCTCTTAGGCATCAACTCAGCTCGCCGTGTTTGGAGGAGGAATGCTGCCTATGACCCCAAGAACACCATCTCCACCGTCAAACATGAGAGGTGGAAACATTATGCTTTGGGGGTGTTTTTCTGCTCAGGGGACAGGACAACTTCACCGCATCAAAGGGACGATGGACGGGGCCATGTACCGTCAAATCTTGGGTGTTAACCTCCTGCCCTCAGCCAGGGAATTGAAAATGGGTCGCAGATTGGTAAATCTGTGGAGGGAGCTGAAGGTTCGAGTTGCCAAACGTCAGCCTCAAAACCTTAATGACTTGGAGATCTGCAAAGAGGAGTGGGACAAAATCCCTCCTGAGGTGTGCAAACCTGGTGGCCAACTACAAGAAACGTCTGACCTCTGTGATTGCCAACAAGGGTTTTGCCACCAAGTACTAAGTCATGTTTTGCAGAGGGGTCAAATACTTATTTCCCTCATTAAAATGCAAATCAATTTATAACATTTTTGACATGCGTTTTTCTGGATTTGTTTGTTATTCTCTCTCACTGTTCAAATAAACCTACCATTAAAATTATAGACTGATCATTTCTTTGTCAGTGGGCAAATGTACAAAAGCAGCAGGGGATCAAATATTTTTTTCCCTCACTGTATACTTGTGCCGGCTTGAAACAGGCTGGATTTCCCTGGTTGCATGCTGGATTTCATCAGGCTGGATAGTGCAATCTCACAGATCCTTGAAGAAAAATCCACATTTTACTTACGCTGCCCACATTAAGTCCCCTTCGTCTACTTCATGCAACCTGGCAAAGGTGCAGTTGCTTGTAGTGCACAAGTTTCCATTTTCCAAGTCAGTAAACCCAACTTAAGTCGCTGCATTTGAGATGTAGACCACCAAAACAAGTGTATTACTATTAAACACTTGCGAAAATATTACAATGAAATCATTTATTATACTTCAAAACAATTGTACAATCAATATTCGAGATTCCACCATTCCTCATAACAATTGGTTGATGTTATTTAAACCATATAAGCATTAAGATCAGGGAAAGGGTAAGACCACTACTCATGCAAGGGTGAGATCATGGCAAAGATTAATTACACTGTTGAACAAATGTTCTCCTTGAATGTCCACAGTTTTGGTTATGGCTGGGTTAAGGTGTTGTGAGTGGTACTTGGGTGTTTTTTTGACTGGTGCTCAGTGATAAGAGTGTTGAAAAAAGGATGTGTTGTGAGGGTGTTATTTTAACTGGCTATCTCTGAAGATGATGGTTAGTATTAACAGTATGTATTACAAGGGTGCTATTTGAACTGGTTGTCTATCAGGGTTCCTTTCAACTTCGCTTTCTTGGCTTCAGATTCCATCTGGGGGACAGAAACAGGGACATACATAAACATGGGGACAAAGGCAGGGGATGAAGAAACAAACAAGTCATTTTACTCCCATACCCCCCCCCCACCCCCGATTAGTATGGTTGGCTACGTACAGTGCGAAAGATGTTCAACATACACACTAACATAATGTAGGCTGCATGTACAGGCAGGCCTCGCTTAGCGCGTCCCCGTATAATGCATACAGCAACATGTATGCTTGTAAAGTCTGTGCCCCAGTCTTTTAATATAGGTCATGTTATCACGTCATATAGTATTCTACGATATTGTAACAAAACATGTAATATAAAAAGCCCATAATATATTCGTATATATTTCCATAAAAGAATCCTCCTGCACAACAGACTTCCAAACAACCCACTACCAGCATCATGCCAACATGTTCTGGAGGACAGCGCTGGAGTCACTCCAGCTGGAGTCACTCCAGCGCTGTCCTCCAGACAGTCTCGTCCCCTTCACCTGATGAAGGCCGCTTGTGTTGTGGCCGAAACGTCGTGAGAATATTATTGTGTTATTTTATTTTATCAATTTATCATTTTATTCTCATTCTACGTGACTTTACCGAAAGAACCAAAGAAGATGAATCCTTGCAGTCATGAAAGCTTTAAATCGAAATTCAAATCAAATTGCTTGCCAGATTTGAGTCTACTTCTCCAGTGGAACCTCATGGGACAAACTCCTCCTCTAGAGGTTCCTGGTCGCTGATCTGGTACAGACCCCTTCCCGCCTAACAGGCGGCATACCTATTAAAGTTTATATTTGGTCTTTGGCACCTTCAACCAGTCTATGATTGGGAAGAGAGTTTTGCTTATATTCTTATTAGGGGCTTTTATAATAGCATCTCTGATTTGGAGGTATCTGAAAAAGTGGGGGGCGTGGAATGTTAAATTCGTCCAAAACCTGACAGTACCCCACCATCCCTAGACAGGAGAGCCCCAACTCTTTCCAGGCCTGACTTCTTCCAGCTGGGCCACATCATTTCCTTCCCCATCCCCACTTTCAGGGACGGGTTGCTCCAAAGCATTCATCTTCTACGCAGAGGGGCTGGGAGGGAAATTATTCTGTCTCTGCACACCCCCAATGTCAATGAGATCGTCCATGAAGCTTTAATCCCTCGAGATCTATTTGTAGTCAAAGCGAGGGCAAACCCCTCCAGACAGCAATCACAATACATCTTGTTGCATCATGTTATTGTTTTTCTGTTGTGTTGCTGCCCTTACCATGTCTCCACGTCTCTTATTCATGCCTTTGCGTTCGAGTTGTTTCTCTATGACCTTTGCGTTGCTGGCATAGGAATCGGCAATCTCCCTCTGCGACACACAATATGCACAGCATGCACAGCACATACAATACAAAAAGCACAAATGTCAAGCTACTGTCATGTCCTTTGTGTCATACTATTATATAATTTGTTACCAGAACAAGTTGTTGCATTACAAAATATCATTGTGCAATGTTATGTCATTATGTGTTTTTCTATCATGTAATGTGATTAAAATGTTGTCATGTCATCAGGTTATGAATTGTTGTCATGATAGATTATCTTGGTGTATTCCTGTTATCACATTGCACGTGTCATGTTACTGTTTAAGCATAAGTGTTTTCAGGTTATCGTATCATTTGGCCAAGTTGCATCACAAGTCTATCGTGTCATTTAATTGTTCAATTGTGCCATTGTGCTGCAGTACACCACTTGCGATGTATTGCTGTGACATGTATTTTTGACAAGCATGGGGAGGCTGCCTTTGTCCAGCGGCGGATTAATAAAGCTATCAATAAATAAAAGTTGCTGTAGTGTTATGTCATGGTGTCATCCCATTGTGTC